TTGGGGACACAGCTGCCGTCAGCTGCGCTCTCCTGCGCGTGACGCTGCGGCAGCTGATTTGTTGTGTTAAATCTGATTAATTTTTAAATGGTCAGCGAAAGTCAGCCTGCAACACCTATGGAGCAGAAATCAGTCTGTTCTTGGAAGTTTGTCCCTGGACTGGGATACTATCGGTCCTGTAGTAGTGAGTTAAAGGTGCTTTATTCTCACTTTTATTTCTGAATCTTGTCTCTCAAACCTTAACGTTCTTTTATTTATTTGTTTTGGACAGATCTACTTGAACAATGCATTTGCTCTGGATTCAGCAATACAGTGGATACATCCCGAGGAGTCGAGACTCTTCCAGGGAAAGGAGAAGCCTCTGTTAATGAGCAATCAAGTAGCCATGGCTGTCGCCAGGCCAGCTGCTGCCTCCAGGCCTCTTCCCACAGTGGTGCTGGCACCTCAGCTGATACCAGGTCAGTAGGACATAAATAATTAAGTATTTACTTTTTTAAAAATGCATCTTCCCACAGATGCGTAAGCCGTTCTCTACAGTAAAGGGTTTCATTCCTCTTAGCTGAAGATCTCTTGCTTGACGTGAGCCTTGATGGCAAAGTGCATTTCATCCTCTAAATGACTTTGAAGGGAAGAGAAGTCCCTGTGTAATTACAGAAGACTGTAACAGATTATCCATAACTGGTGGCTGACGTGTGGCACGGAGGGGCCGGCCGCTCCCAACGCACTTGGTTTATTTTCAAACGGGAAATTGCCGACGCAGTGCGTGTAGAATTCTGCTTCTGGCTGCTCATCTGAAGGGTGCGGCGTGGCCCGCGTAGACAGCTGTCAGTGGAGCAGAGCGATTGATCCATCGCCTTGTTGAGATTCCGTTGTGCACGGTGATATTTGTGTGATAAATTCCATTAATCCGCGTAACTCGGGTACGTCACAGCCGTTAGCGAAGAGCTGAGCTTTAGGCTTGGAGGAGGACAGGACACACAGCTTGCGGGAAGGCTGAATCTCCGCCTTGGCGCTGCGGTACTCATTTGAAATAGCAGTTGCTCGTAGGAAAGGTTGGGAAGCAAAGTGCTACTGATGCTGAAACTCCTGGCGTGTGTTCTCACCTTCAGAGTCGGGATACCCGCAATGGCTTGCTGTCATTTCTTCCTTTCTCAGACCGAAGGGGACGTCTGCTCAGCTGGCAGCAGAGCCCCTCTTACTTGGCCCTTGCCCTGTCGAGCACCCCTTATTTAGCGGCGGGGTGGCCCCCGGGAAGCCTGCCTGTGCTTTGCCAGTGGGAGGGTGCTGGAGGAGGTCCCTGCTGTTTGGGTTCGTTTGCCAGGCCGATTGATGCGCAGTGAATA